TTTAACTTAGCAGGCAGCACTGCACTTTCAGAATTCAAGTGCCTTCTGCCTCTTACACTGGGGAAGTTACCCTTTTTCAATTGAAAACTCCTGTTCTTGGAGAGAAAAAGGTGAAGTAATCAAGCAATACAAGCTGACAATGCAGGCAAAGCTCCTTATCACAACGCTTCATGACAAAACCCATAGTAATCTAAGAGAATGTTACAGACAAAGAATGTTTTCCACCTAATCTACTTGAAAGGCACAATGCTACCGTCATGCCCCCGTGTCAGAGCATAACAGAACTGAAACCCCTACCCGTGAAGAACATCACCACAGCAAGGCCCTGCATGACTCCCGCTCATTGGCATTCTACATCACAACCACTCCATAAGTGGTCCCTATTGCTCGGTGACAAGGAAGAGTCAATGGTATACTGACAAACCTATTTCAAGTACAAAATGGTATTTTATTTACCATGAAACCAAGCACAGTGTTTCTGAACAGCCATTTAATGCTTCAAGATTAGTTTTTTCAGAAAGCATTCAGAAAATTGTTCCAATTTTTCATCGAGCTGAAGTACTAGACAAATCTATAAAGAACAAGAGTTATTTAAATAGCTGAATGGTTAACTGAAATAGGAGAAATCCTATAATCATTTTGGGAGAGGTTTAGAGTGTAGAAGGCTACCTTGTGCAGAGAACTTAAATGAAATTTAAAGATATGAAATTTAAATTCACATAAATTCACTTTTTTTTCTTTTCAAAATTCATTTATACTTTTTTTTTTTCTTTTAAAGGACAAAGCAGCCCCAAAATTATCCAATTATATAAAAGAAACATGTGGAATTTTAAAATCTTTAGAAGCTGACTCACCAGTCTCTTCACAATTCTCAACAAAAGCTTCAGTTGTTGTGTATCTTTTTTGGACTTCAGTACTTCAGCAAAGCTGTCCATGTTTTCTGGAGACATACTCTCCTGACTGTTCCCTCCATAGAGCTGAACCAGCAATGATAAACACTGTGAGGTGCTCACAAATATTTCAGTATCTTCACTGGGAAGCTAAAAAAGAACAAACAAAAATCAAATTCCAATTTCAGAAAAATTGCATATCACTGGGGATTTGGGAGAGTATTGACATCTGCATTGTGCACGAAAGAATCATTTCCAGTTGATTGACTCAAAATTCCATTAAACTAAGCTTAATAAAATAAGGGAATTGTAATATACCTGTTTTTAAGCAGCAGTATAACAATGTCTCCACTATGATTCTATCAAATCTAACTAGAGCGACATAAAAGCACTGAAAATATTGCTCCCAACTCTTAGTTTTGCTTTAAACAGAAGTGGTAATAGCAGAAAGTATTATAGCCATGATGCCTGATCTTCTACATAACACACACCATAAAACTTCATTTAATTATTTCTAAATCAAGCCTATGGCTTCTGGTGGAGGTAGAGTACAGGCTCTCTGGCTATTTAATGGATTTTAAATAGTCACATTAGGAGGTATACTTTGCAGGTTTTAAATATTTTACTGAATTCCACCTTTTCTGCATTCCTTTGAAGAGCAGACACTGGAGCAGGCCCTTGCAATGGTATGGAAAAACTCTTTCCTAGGAAGCAAAGTTGTGGAAAAGATTTGAAGGCATGGCTAATAATCATCTTTAAATGAGCTTCTGATAGTATGACACTGCTATCAAAATGCTTTATATCCTTGAAAGTACAATCTGGAAATAACGAGTAGAGATACTGTATTATGCTTGTATTTGGCACTGTTGGAATGACAACAAGAATGCAATGCCTAGTTTTAGCACAGACAGTTCATGAAAGCTAGTAAAATAAATCACAGAGGTTTCTTGGGAACAGGCAAGAAGATGATAGATTGGAAAACAACAGCAAAGAATTGAAGGAATTCAATGCCTATAGCTTAACAAAAGAAGGGTTAAAGGGCATTTGCTCATATTCTCTCAGTTATACATCAGAAAAAGCAGGCTGAGGATAGGTTAATTCCTTTACCTGAAAAAGGACTGGTAAGAGATGATAGCTCAAAACTTTAGATAAAGTAATTCAGATTAGAAGGAACAGAATACTTTGATTTCTTTTTTTCTTTCTTTAATTGGAGTGCTTACCTGCTGAAACAACTTTCTTAGACCTGAGACAGATTCTTCATCGCAGGCAATGTATATATCACAGCTTACATTTTTTTTCCTAAAAAACTAACAAACCCTTTTCCTAAAATGTGGATTTGATTTAGGAAAGTCCTGTGTCTTGTGTTACATATGATCCTAGACTGACTACAATAGCTTTTTCTCACCTGACAACCTATGAACTGAACAAAACATAGCCATGGTCATCTTAACCAATAAGGTACAGAAGTGTAAAACACCTCATCGCTCCTATTCAGGTTTTGTATTCCAGAAGTGCTATTTATAACAAAGCAGCTAGATTACAGTTAACTGACTATCCTTACTGACAATAAAAGGAAACAATTTATGTAGTCTGTTCAACCATTTAGAAAATATGCACAACCATTTCAATAATGTTACTTATTTAATCTGCAGTATGAATTTCCCAAGTTTTCTTCATTTTAAGGAAAACCTATACAGTTACTTTAAAGCACTCTATGAATATATCAGACATACACTCCTCAAATATTCAAGCAGCAATTCCCCAGGGATCTGCATGCAAATAGAATCCTGTTTTCTGTTAGCTTCACAGAATTGGCTGTTTAAACCAGCCTGAACTGAGATGTAAGCTCTGAATACATAGCCCCAAGACATATCACATCCTATTTGACCTAATGCTATGCAGGTGACAGGACCAGAGCAGCTATTTCTTACACAGTTCTGCTGTACGGTTTTTCTTCATTCCAATCTAAATGCCACCTATTTGATAGTTTCCTTTCCAACATCAGAATTATCTAACAACATCATCAACATAGATAGAAAACCTTAAAAGGAGGAACAGCTAAAAATAGTAACAAGCTTTATAGATCCATTTATATCATCAATCCTTATCAAGTAAAAAAAATCCACTGGTGGTTTTAAGCTGACTTGTATTTCCTTCACTAAAAACATGCTATTAGATAAAGGAAGGAAAAATTAAACTAACATCCCCTGTAACAGCAGTACTCCAGCTTACATTTTGCTACTAGATCAGCATAGACAGGTACATCAACCTCTCTCTGAAGAAAAATCACAGTCCAAGGACTTTTCAGATGTTGTTTGTGGCTAACCAAAAGCAGAACATCAGAATCAGTGAACATTTGGATAGATTTGACTATGCCCTGGCATGGAAGTGGAGGCTGGTTCCCTTGGCTCCATAAGCACAAAATCCTATGTGTAATCAATAATCACAACAGCCATACTTGGAAGTGAGACTGTTCCCAAGGTCTTTTTTCCTAGATATTCATTAAGTGTCAGAGGAGGGGAAAGGTGTCAGTCTTTGCAGAGGACTGCCCCTACAATAACCTTCTGTGAAGAAATACATAAAGCACCATGTCCTTGGCAGTTCTTCCTAACATTGGGAGGGTACACGATTTTCAAGGAAGCAAATGAGCAATTCCAGACTGTCAGCATTATTCCCAAGGTAGGCTGTCTTGAGCAGGAGTCCCCAGTTAGCATGACAGTGGAACATTTTGCCCTAGATGAGGAGGAGCTGGGCTTGGGCTTCGCTTATCTCCTCCTGGCAAGCCTGACCTTGCACCACTGTTGCTGCTGTTCTTTGCTCCCCAACAAAAGAAAGGAAGACCCTGAAATTCTCAATCCAGTATGTCTTGGCATCATATAGACTCACTCTTCACAGGATGTCAAGCTTTCAGTGACCATCCTCCAAACCTAGCCACCAGTATCATTCCAGGGTTCACAGTACTTGCTAGTCAGGACATCATCCTATTCAATCACTGTTGTACTTCAGGCTCTTCTGCTCCTCTGCTTCACCAGAGCCCCTTTGAGCTTCAGTGCTATCTAGAGTTTGGGGAACAAGTTGCTGTCATCCTGGAAAACTGCAGGCTAAAACAATAACAGCATAGGTCTTGGATGAAGAGGGAAACATGCTGGGAATAGGAAAGATCATATTTAGTCTGGAGAGGATGAGAATCATTGGTCTGCAGTCTAACCCATCAATAATTAAGGTGGAAGAGCAATGTCCCTATTTAAATACGTCCACATCAGCACTTTTCTCTTATTACTCTCACCATTTTGCTGTTTCACTACTGACAAGTAGTGATTTAGTTGTCAAAAGTCATAAGCTGGCAGCCTAAATTTTAACACTGGCTGGCAGTCAGTGTTAGTACTGGTTATAAAGAGTAGGAGATCTGAAGAAAACTACTGGTATGAACAAAAGCAATGACTGAAAATAGAATACCTGTAAATATAGAAAAACAAGGAATAAAAATTCAGCTTTCAAAAAATAGTATCATGTCTAATAAGAACAGTGAAGCTAGAATCATGTAGCTAGACAATGAATACAGACAAATAGTTCAACTCTTAATCAGCTGGAATCACAGTGTTCTGATTATTTTTCTAATCATAACAACTCCATTTGATATAAAGTATATTTCAAGTCTTAGAAATGTATTTATAGTTTAACATAACAGCAGCTACTTAAGTTTTTGTTCTTTCACAGGCAGAGAAACCCATGAAAAACTAGAGCTCTGTTTAAGGAAATATCTGCCCCTTAATATTTCATAATTACATGAAAAAAAAGTCTAGTGGCCTTTGATTTCTTTTTGCTTTATCAGTCATAAAGGGGATTATGGATTCAGCCCTTCAGCAAAGCAGAAACATTAGTACTCTTTCTCCTTGCAGCTGTTAATATTCTAGCTAGTGTATAGCTTGAAGAAAATCCAGCACCTCAAAATAAATTACTGAACAGCTAAAGGCATAACTTTTGCCATTCTCTAATTCAGAACTGTAGGTTTATTTTACATTTCAACATTTTAAAATAATGCCTCATAACAAGACTTCTGTGCAAAGAAGACTCTGGATTCCTTAATTTTTACAGCTATGCCATAACTCCATGTGAACAAGCTCATAACAAAATTCTCTCTTCCTTTCTAGATGAAACCTGCTCTGTGTATTTTAAGGTTAACATGCTGAAGAGCAGGAAGTTTCTTGTTATTAGACATCTCTATTTCTGTAGTCTGTTGTCAAAACCACCTTCATTTTGACCAGAGTTGCAGTGTGTTCATGAATTGCAAACCACTGCAAGAAATGTGTGATCATTTGAGCTGAAGTGGCAGTTTTCACAGCGCTGGAGTTGTTACAGCATCTAATTTTAGAGCCACAATGAAACTGTCTGGATTACCCGGAGGGGACACTATTTCAGTGCATTAATGAGGTTATCCACAAAGAGAGTTTATTACGACGAGAGATAGATGTTCATTAGATCAGTAGTGTGATTACAGAATGTGCTGTAAAGGAAGCACCATTGGGAACTATAAGGAAGATGATTTTGCAAACATTAAACAAAATGTAAAAGCAAAACATCATTACTAAATCTGCTCGCTTTACTATGCTATCATTAGTAGTAAGTATGCACAGTTTAAAATGAAAATATAAAAATCATATTATTATGGATTAGGGCAAAATTGGGAAATTAGGGAGTATATTTTAAAAAGCAATGTATTTCCAGTTCATTATAATCTACTCTAATTGCTGAGAAACTAAATTCCCATTCTGAAATTCTGTGACAACACACTGTTATTTCCTCTGGTGTCTATTGGGGTTTTTCTGGTTGCTTGGTTGGGTTTTGGGTTTTTCTGTGGGATGGTTTGTTTGATTTTTGTTTTTTAAGGTAGCTCTATAGAATTCTTCACATATAATTCACGCATAGCATTTCAAACACAATAACAGCAATATATAATGCAATACAGGAAATAAATAGATATCTTTCCACTCTGGCCACAGAACTGTCTGCATTCCTAAGAAATGTGAAATAGAAGTGTACAGTCTACAGTGTTATCATTCTTCTGCAGTCATTTTCATTAGTCATTGGCATATACCTTCACATGCTCTGAAACCAAAGTCAGGGCACAGCCTTAGAACCAGTGCAACGCAGAGACAAAAAGGACCTAGAAGAGATTATCTCGTTCATTCATGTGCATTGAGGCTTCATATTTGTCCTCTTCATGTTTGCACACGATTAACTGGTCTTCCAACAGTAATATGGAGAGCACAGTATGGAACTGCAGCTATTACTAGTACTACTACAATGAAGAAGGCTACCACCAGAAGACAGGAAAAGTTCTGTCCCAGCAGACCTGTAGGCTCAGAAAAGACTGGAAGATCTACATCTAGGATTCACAGAGAAATGAAGCTCCGTTTTATAGGTACTTGTGAGGTTTCTGAAAGTTTCAGAAATGTTTCTGAAAATCCACACTGAAGTGATTTCAAAACTAATACCTTTTTCTTTCAGGATAATAGTATATCAAAAAGAAGTTATCTGTTATCTTCTATAATTGCCGCAAGTTTCAGTATAATAACCAAATCAGATTTATTTTCAAGCTGAGAAACATTACACACAAAAAGCTAAGTGTAATTAACTTTTAAACACAAACCTGCCAAGCAAAACCTGACTGCTCAATTTATTTTCCTCTTACTGATCAATCCAAGGAGACTGATCATGGGGTTAAATATTGAATTCTCTGTGTTTGCAGTGCTTTCTGCATGACAGAACTTTTAATTATTTCTTCTTTTGCATTCTTAAAAACTCTGAAGTTTCATTTACATGCAGTCTAGGTTTCCTCTACTTACTTTGCTATGTCCTAATGACAGACTAAATCATGGTTACAGAAGGGAAAACCTGATTCTACGTTTCTGACATTTCCAAGTTTTATGCATATCGATTTTTGTGGGATTTTTAAGACAGAGACATGTAGAACTTGAGGAAACAAATGGACAGGTAATGGGGCACAGAACGATCATCTACTTGATGGATATACAAATTGATGAGGGAAAGCAGTTATTCAAAGTGACAAAAGAGACTATAAATATGGTAAGATAGGTAGAAACAGCAAACCAGAGAAAATGATTTTAACTCAGTATCTTAAAGTGATGGTTGGTTCAGAATTTAAGACTTTGATTATCTCCAGAAAATAAAATTCACAAAGAACTAAATGCCTCAAAACATTAATGAAGGGTTATGTAGCCACACTCCTCAATGAATACAGCCAGCTACTGTTGGCAGCTACATGGAATATAAGCTTGGGCAGGCCCAAGTCTTTTTGAGGGGTAGGGAGTATATACATCTTGAGAGACCCACTAGACGTCACAAAGAATCTAGCCCTATTTGAAGAGATTAGAGCGTAAAACATTTTAAACAAGTGGATCCTAAATGTTAAAATTATTGTTCAATTGTTCAAACTCTTCCAACCTTAACAGGAAATGTTTAATAGAACAATGGGTAAAGGATATAAAATTTTAAAAACCTAGCTAAAATAACTTTTATTTATCTAATCAAGCACACATAAAGAACAATGTGTATTACAAGAGGAAATCCTTTAATTTTACAAAATCTTTAGCAAAATTCAAAACCAACCCCAAAAAAGCAGCACCACCAATGGTCTTCACTCTTAAAGCCAGCAGATTTTAAATAAGCATTTTAAACATACCAGAATCTGTAGAAATACAGAAAAAGCAAAACCTAGAGGTAATTTGCAGTCATGCTTCTGAAATACAAGGGCAAGTTAGGATCTAATCAGTACATACTAACTATACAATTATCCTATCCTTTAATTAAAAACTTATAAAAGACTTCCAGGTGGTATAGGCTGAGTAAAGCTTGGCCTCTAATTTTCTGTTCTTTAGAGACTTAATGGAATTTAAATTTATGACTAGTTTAACTTTAAAAGAACATTTGCATCTCTTCATGTCTTGCTATTTATCATATATAATGACTAAAAAATTAATAGAAAATAAATTAAAAGCATTTATAAAGATGATATATAGTGAAAATTCAGTCACTTTGGTTTAGGTCATTAAGTGAACATTTCCAAAAAGACTTTGTCAATAGCTGGTTAAAATAAATCCATCAAAGGAGAACTTAGCAACATGTATAATGCCAAAAGTTAATAAAAAAGGAATCACATTCTTCCCCAAAATAGAAGATGACAGAGCTAAAGATAGTAAAAGGGGCACAGTATTTATATCATAATACATCTGAAAACCTATATTTAAATGAAAAACAACAACAAAAAAATTGGGTCTAGAAGAGAACACAGTGAATCTGAAATGCCTCTGAGCAACATAACCTGGAAAGGATAGTGTGATATTCCACAGGGAAGTTCTCGCATACCATTTTAATGGCTTTATGTTGAACAGAAGGCTGAGACAGCCTCTAAAACCCCTGTCCAGATTAAGAAGAATTCCTCTACTACAAGGTATTACACACAGAGCTAATACAAATCTCTGGCACGGTATGAGGGAGGTTGAGCTGATGGGATGCATCAGGGCTGCAATACAGTTGTCTGTGGAGATTTCAATGCAGCGCTGTGACATCTAGTAAACCCTGGAAAAGTCTGACTTTCAAACAGACTTCAAAGATGTTTACAGATCACCAGGGACCATTCCTACTTGTAAATCCCCCAGGATCATGTTAAAATAAAACTAAACCCTTGAGAAAAACTCCAAAGGCTGAAAACCAACAAAAATAATATTAAAAGGCATTACTCACTGCAATTAATTTTAAGTTTACTGACATTTCTAATGGTAGAAGTACTTGTTTCATGTATCTTCCCTATGCAGTTATCAGTAGTCCATTCCAAAGGACTATAATTTGGCTATACATATGCATCCAAACTGAAAATCTGCATCCTGCATCTCATTCCACTTTCATGCTTGGGACAGATTTACTCTGATGTCACTCGTAACCTGCAAGTCACTGTGACCTCTAATTTCTTAAAAATTGGGTTTTTTTAAGTCCTGCCTTTGTGCTAGGTGGGAGCTTACAAACAATCAAAACTTAGCAAACAGAGTTCAAAGATGTTGAAGTCGGTTGAATAATTCCAACTTCAGCAACATTCCAAAAGGTTTACAAACAAGCAAATTCTCACCAGTTGAATAAGCAGGCTAATTAGGTCCGTCAGGGGTTTATTGACAAGCAGAAGGTCTTCAGCAGCCTGTGTGTCCCCTCCTGTGCCAGATTTCTGTGCCTTAATAAGGTGAGAAAAGAATAAAAAGCAATCTTGGTGGCTGTTGCGTTACAAGAAACAAATTAGGTCCATTAGGTGGCCAAACTCTGAACAGAAGTTTGAAGGAGACCTATAAACTCTTTTCTAGTTAAGTATTCCTAGGTTGCCAATGAACAGTTAATGCTCCCTGTAATGCCTGTAACAACAGACATTCCCTGTAGTGTCTGTAACAACAAGCACAAAACAAAAGGGACTCATGTCATGCCCATCCTGCATAGGCTGAATATACTGACCTACATGACATTTCTTCAGCAAGATGCTATAAACTGCATATGCAAAAGATACCTGTAGAGCCATAAATGTTTTATGCATTTGTACTCCCTTCAACATAACATACCTACTTTAAAACTGAAGTTCAATTGGGTTTTTTTCCTTTATCAAGAAGAATTTTAAGTGCAACTTAAACCAAGAAAACCAAGATGAGTGAAAAGTTAGGATTCTCAGCAATGATGTCCAATTTCGCCCTTCTGACTCATTCTGTGCATCCTGAAATACTCATCAGATATTATAACAATTCAAATTATTTTTGAAATAGGAATAGGAAAATCTTTAAGTGACCCAAGTCTGTGATAAGATCTGTTACTCCTTGTAATTCTGACTGCTGTCACCTCCCCTCATCAAAACACACTGCCATCCTAGGCAGTGCTATTTATGACCCACCAGGACACCAGAAAGATCTGCTTGAAAGATTTTCCCTTTAACTTAATTATTTTGCACCAGTTTTGGACCATGACCCTGTAGAGTCGAGCTGCTAGAGGAAAATGTACACGTTTTATCTAAAGAACACATTTAAAAGTCATTTCATATTGTGTTTCATTTGAAGCTCAATCCTAAAACCATCATCCAAGTGTAATACTTGAGGACTTTCATTTGCTTAAGCAAACACAGGAGCAAGTCCCCTGAGACAGGAGACACTCCTGCTGGGGCTCCACTGTTGATACTGATGAGTTGAAGGGATAATGCCTTTCTTCGGGAAAGAACTTTGAAACAAGAGATCTGAAAAGCTGTTTCTCCAGGTAATAAGACATTGTGGTGAGTCTCAATGAGGGATATACAAATGACCTGGAATGGTGAAGTATAAGAAAGGCAGAAAGAGAGGATAAAACAAAATGGAGTGTCCATATTAATCAAGCAAGGGAAATAAGTCACCTTCACTTCAGCAAAATTTACAATAGTTTTTCTGGTTAGTGCTTGAATGAGAAGACAGGTAACGGTTGAACTTGATGATCTTAAAAGTCTTTTCCAACCCAGTTGATTCTATCATTCTATGTTTGACTACTTTCTTTAACTTTTATATATTTAGTGACTACAGAGAGAAAAATCTTGAATGAAGCTGGATACAGCTACCAGCATCATTCAGCATAGAGTACTGAAATGCAAAGGAAAAGTGGTGCCATGTTTTGCCTGTGCAGCTGGATAAGTTTATCACTTTACATGCAAAAAGCTTAAATAAAAAGGATTCAAGTGGCAATAGTACTATCTGTAAAAATCAACTTAAGCCTCAAAAAGGGGTAATAGGAGAAAATTTTATTCTCTTTTTCAAGTTCAGTTTTAGAAGGTATCTTATTCAGAAGATCCCTATAAAAACAGTCCAAGAATATTTGTTATCACTACAGTGATGCATTTAGTAACCCATGGATAGTGGAATATTATGTAGATGCACTGTAAATAGTTACCAACTAATGGCCATCATTCAGTAAGGCATGTGTAATGAAGTAGTCGTACAACACACAGGGGCCCTCTGACAAGTATTGTCAAGACAAGTAGTTTTATAAGGGTACAGGATAGAGCTGTGCTTTAACTCATTTTTCCAGCTGCCTCTTGTTTCCATTAGCCTTCCAGAGCAAAGCAGATCACTTTGACTAGAGCTGGACAAAAGTGGAGCTGGAGTCTAGCACATCAATCAACTGATGTATTCTTGTAAAGCTAGAACAGAATCTGGCTTTGAACGTATAGATTTATTTTTATATCTAAATAATCAGATTCACTAACGTTACTAAACCATGGGCAAGATTCTCTTTCCTCATATGTGTCCTCACCACTGTTGCATGGAAACTAAGTACAGAATTTAGCCCTCTGTGATTACATGGAGTGATGCCAACAATATGACAATCAGCAATTAGCCTACATAATTTGATTTACAAAGTGATTCTTAGATAAGAAACCCATTACAGAACCTGCTAACAGAGGACTCAAAAAAGACATGGTATCATACCATCAGATCTAAATTAAATCTCTTCCAAAAAAAAATAAGGAAACCCCACCTCTCAGGCTGATAACATCACTGGTTACATAAATCTGTGTAGGAAAAAAAGCAGGGGCTCAATTTTCTATACTCACTTCATACATTAAAACTTCTTACAAAAACCCAAACCCCCTAAACCTCCCAAACACACAAAAAAATAACCAACCCTCAGAGAAGGACTATGTCAGATTAAAGAAGCCATGTCCTGAATGACAGTATAAACCTGGCTACAATCTTTTGAATCTCTGTCCTTCAGATATATTGGACTTAAAAGGCTTCTCTGTTCTTAAGTGGATAATCCCAAGAACATCAAAAAAACAGCATGAAGAGTAAGTGATGTTGTTTGCAGCCTTAATAGAGAAATTACTTCCACTTGACTAACTTCAAAATTTGGCAGATATTTTAAAACCAAAGCAAACATTGCTAGCTTAACATCATGTCTAAAAAAAGATTAAAGCTTTTTCTTGTTTTGTTCTTGAGAGAGTTATGTGCAATTTCTTTGACTAGTATCTTTTTGTGCTTCATTTGTAAGGAAGAGGATGTCTTCATTAGAAGAGGAAGTCCTACCAATGCCATGATTTGCAGCAGTTCAAACAAAAATTTGGAAGACAAATTGAGCAGCGTGAGAGGAAATACTTCTGTCAGTGCACAGGCAAGGGTTTCATATGCTCTTCAAGTACAGTATCACATGTGATTTATAATAATAAGATGTTTTTTATGGAGTAATCTTTTAAAATGAATGGCAGAAAACTGCTCTGAACTATCATCAAACAAATGCTGAATTGCAGAAACAAACCAATCAGCTAGGATCTGTGTTTTCAGCACACAGTGAGGCTAATATACATATTCTAGCCAGGTAACTACATGAAACAGTGACATGAAGTTGAAAAATACATGCTTTTCTCTTTCCATCACACTAAAAGTCAATAAAATTGGAACAGTGGGAATTTCATCATTAGGGTAACAGTTACCTAAGAAGCTACCTAAAAAGGTCAGGTTTGACAAAGCCTTGGGTGACACGGTGTAGTGTGAGGTGTCCCTGCCCTCACAGGGGGTTGGAACTGAATGAGCTTAAGGTCTTTTCCAACCCAAACCATCTGGGATTCTATAGAAATTGTTTAAGTTGGTGATGACCCCAGGAAATAAATTCCATACCTGTAAAGTCTGGCGCACAATGTTGGCTGTGTACATCAGCATGCAGTGCAAAATGTCAAGCAAGGATAGAAGTACTGCATTTGCTGTCTTGGTGCTGCTTTTATCATCTGCCTCCAAGTACAGAGCCACAGTTTCTGTTAGGAGACTACAGATATGATAAACCAGTCCTATACAGAAAGTGAGAAAAAAAAAAAAGAGAAATAGGCTATCAGGAAAAGAACAATGTGGAAGGCAGCCTAGCTAAAAATCACAGATTAGAATTTAAAAAAAAGTCACATACATTATGAATATTTATTAAACTTCCTCTTTTTCTCCATTATTCTAATTAACTTCTCTTTTATTCTGTTTGGAGCAGCTCATAGAGTTAAACTGATACAATCAAATTTGCTAACTGCATGGAAAATTACATAATATTCATTAAATAAAAGACATTATTTGAGTCCTAAACTTTTCCATAGCATGCTGGTACACAAGTCTCCTTCACAACACTCCTGGTCGCAAGAATGAAGCAATTTCTCCAGGCTGTTATGAAATGACACATCAAGCTCAGAGCCTAAAATTTTGTCTTTTAACTGGTATGCCAATTACAACCTCTACCATATGCTTTAACTGATGAACTGAACAATCTTATGCTTACCATAAAACATATTCAGAAGAGCATTATATAAGGAACACTGAATACTACACCTAAAATGTTATTAAGATTTGTTTGACTGATGGTAATCAAAAGTTTCCTGAAAATACCTTCTTGTTTTGAAGCTTTTTTTAAAGATCCTTTGGAATTTAATACCACTAGCTCCTGTAGCTTGCTTAACCCACAAATCAGTTGACATATCAGAAAAAATATAAAACCCATTTCAAGGCAATACCGATTAAATTCAGAATGTTTCTTACTCTCAAATACAAAACGATTGAGTTCACTATGTTTTCTGAAAGAAAAATCTTTTTCTTTCAGAGATTCATGAAAAATAAAATAAATTTTGTTCCTCACCAAGAACATAACTCTGTTTGTAAATTACCTTATTTTAAACTGGCAATTCGCCATAATGTGATTTGGGTTCACATAGGTAGTAATATTGTGGTATATGAGCATATCAGCTTCTAGACCTCCATGACTCAAAAATGACTGAAGTATTTCACTGATTTCACTGAAGTAGAAGAGCGTTTTTATCAGTTCTCCTTTAAAAAGTAATTGCATATATTTTTACAAACATCAGTACAAGACTGAAACGAGACAACATAGAATACAATATGCAATTACACCATTCAGCTTTTGTGAGGAGTCAAATCTGTGTGGTGTTGAACTATTTTGGCTTTGAAAGATGCCCCATCAGTTAACTAAACTTCCATGAAATATTTTCCTCCTGTATTCATCAAGCTTAATACTTTCCCCAGGAAATTAAACAAAAACATTAATTTAGAATATATTTATGAGTCAGGATCATAAAGACTTACACTCTTCTTATATCTCGCATCTTTTGTGGCTTTATGATTACTAGCATTATTCTTTCACCACGGTTTTGATTGATAGACTACAGCTCAGGCTAAGCTTTGAATTTCCTGAAGTTTTGTCTGCATAAACTAAACTCTCCAAATGACACCAGTCTAATCTCACACATTTAATTTCCTTCTTTTTTAAAGCACAATTTCTGCTGCAGTTCTGAACACTCCATACACAAAAATGAGCTGGCATGCAGAGAGACTTTGAAGTGATGTCACCAATACCCACAAAGAAGAAAAAACCCAGCCATAATTCTATGTCCACCTTATATAGAACTTGTGGTTATTCTACACCTTTTTTCATCAGACTAAGTAAGAATAAACCTAAGAAAAGAGTCCAGTAAGAGCTGGTCCCCATCAAAGTGATGTCTGCTAAACTGCCTGCAGGGATATGTCCAAGTACACTCTGTTTCTCCCTCTAGATGACCACAAAACCCACAGCACATCAGACTGAATGAGTCACCCTATTATTTCTAGATGGCTTACATACAACCCTGAAGACAGTGACTTGGAGGTGAACACTGGCTACTTTCAAATGAAGGCATTGTATGGGTCATCATCAAGATTTTTTTAGGCAGTAGTCCTCTCTGCATTTAGAGCACTAAGTAGGGAATGACAGTAGTGAACAAAACAACAGGATCCATTCCTCTGATCTTCAGTCCTTTCCCTTTTAACTTTGAAGTGAATTACTTGTTTATTCCTTTGACTGTACCACCCTGAGTCTCACAACTGACTTGTTTCTGCTGTTTGGTGAACAGAACACTCAATCTTCTCCCCACCCATTGAGACATGAATAATATAATCACCTAGATTTTATTCTCTCCAAGTATTTACATCCTAAGAGTATGCATATTAGCAAACCCTGCCTCTGAACACCTGAAACACACCAGAATAGTCACATTTACTTAGTAAACTAAAACATCAGAATTAGATTCTAGGTACATACTTGCTCAGACAGAGTTATATGTACAAAGATATGCATGTTAAATTTGGAAAGTTTGGGGAAAACCAAAACTTTTCCCGAACTTTAAATACCATTGGAAAACTTAACATGTCAAGACTTTGTAATAATGACATTTAAAATAAAACACTGGTGCAAAATGTTCTCTAACATGCTGCATGATTCACACAGAAACCTGATAAACACTTGGTTCCACAGATAAAAAAACAAAACAGATTGACCTCTTGGCCAAATAAATAAAGTTCCAGACATGCGTTTTAAACTACTGTATTGTGTCACAACACAAGGAAAATTGGAGGCCACAACTGTAGGCACGTAAATACACTCCTTGCTTATACCACAAGAAAAAATACACATTCTTTGTCCTCAGAAGAGAAAGTTGGGAAGCTGGTATAATTTACAGTGACCATGACAAAATTCAACAGGAGTTTAATGGCCTTGGCCACTGGCACTGCAACCAGTTTACTCAAAACTATAAAGACTATAAAACCTAAAAGCTATAAAACCTAAAAGCTATAAAGATCAAGACTGACATGTCTCAGCATTCCAAAGATTGAATCCCAAAGCAGATAGTCTGAAAAAAAGATGATGCAATTCTAAACAAAAGGAAACTGTATTCATAATTCAGGAAATTATAATATTAAAATTGCATATGGATCTGTAAGTTTCAGAAGATACACCAGAGGTTTTCTCCTAAATTTTACAACTGACTCAAGAACCATATTCTTCTTGATTTCCAATAAAGCCTAAAACAATATTTAACTTCAAAAATCTCAGGCAATATATTTCTGAGTCATATTTAACAGACATAAGTTTCTTATGTAGTAATTCTCGTTAGAAAGTAAAATAAGTAAAAAAGTAAAATAAAAATAAGTAAATAAGTAAAAATAAGTAAAAAATTGTAGCAATTCTTCATTAGAAAGTAAAATAAGCTCTGATTCAAAAGGCACACCCCATGCTCTCCTGAACTTTGGAAGTGGTGGATCTGAATCTGAATTCTGTAACACAGAAGAGAGCTAAAATTAAACTAAGGCAGATTGTACCTTGAGAAAAGTTACACATTTTGAAGTATTCTGGTACTTCCAAGCATGTTAGAAATAGTCCCCTTTCTCAAGAGAAAAGTGTTAGCGACAGTTTACATGGGTTAAAGCAATGCATCATGATTTCTTTCAGATAGGCATTTCTTATTAAGAGAATTAAGTATAAACTTATTATTTAACTTACAGGGTTTTTTTCTTACTCTATTAATTTGCAAATTTTAGCAAAGAAGATATATCACATCATATTGTTCATAGCTGTAGTTTAAACTTATTGCAATACTTCTTACTGCGCTAATCATTCCTTGTATTGTAAAAGGAGGATCTTCAAAATATTAAGTGCAGTGCTATTCAGATTTTGCAGAAAAATAAAGCAAAACTTGGATTTTGCATTAGAATTATGTTTATAAATTAACATAACTGGAATTGAATAAAAACCCTGTTCTAATTGCAGTCCAAGATTCATAATATGCATTAAAAGGATTGCATCCAAAATTCCTACCCACGGTTTTATAGCAGTTGATAACCCTGGTGTTCACAGCAGAGTGTTTCTCCTGCCAAGACCTCTGCAATGAACTGAACACATTGTTAACAGCACTCTATGAATGTGGACTGTGATAACTATGCTTGTGTTTTACAAATCTTTTCTAAAGATAAAAGGAATCTTTTGGCCCATGCTACAGATAATCGGACAGAATGTGCCATGATATCTTCTGGAATAAAAGCCGAGAGGAAATATTTTATTTTCACCTATTAGCAAGATGGATAAAGAAAAAGACATCTTTGCTTCCAAATCATACAAAACATCAAAGGAGAGCCTACGAAGCAATCTTCTAGGCAATCCTTTCATACCTACCAGCAATTAGAACATTCAACAAAGCTTTCTGCTTCCAGATGAAGAAAACCTTAGAGCAGATGTACTTCCTTGAACAATGCCACCAGCAGCAAATCCCTCGGCCTGGCAAAAAGGTTTCTCTTTGTTCCCTTCTACATGGTGCTCTCTGGAGAGCTTTTTCCCCATTTGTAGCACACCTACACAACTGACTCCCCAGGGATATTAACATATATACATTCAGTAGACTTCCTTCTTTCACTTACAGAGTGCACCTGGTTGGGCTTTTTGCCGTTTTCTAAACAAAACTACTCAAAGTAACAACATATTGGGAACTAGAAACAACATCAACAGACTAACTAGAAAACATATTTCATAATCTCTTTAGCTGTTAATGATAAAACTCAAGAATAATGCTAAAGAAGAAACACAGGAATGTACTCTGATAGATTCTCTCACACAGGAATTAGCTCCTAAGTATCTGAGCTCTTAAGATAATCCATCATGTCGTAAAGATTCTTCATAAAACCTTATTTACCTATTTAAACCTGGGATTTAATTTGCATTCCTTGCATCACAGCCCTACTACTCAAGGGTTCCCGTTTTAAATGACTGAAAATAGGCAACATAAAGCAAATGGTATCTTTTGGACAATAACATTTTTAAAAGAGGCTTGTTGCTTTTGTTGTTATTTTTGTTCATTATTTGTTACTGTTTATGTTTTAGGAACTATTTGTGCTAGCGCTATATTATTATTGAAGGAAGAAAACAAGGATAGAAATTTAGATCACCGCTGATTTATATGAGCAAATACAGTGTAACTATGGACTGTAATGA